CTGTAACTGTATTGAGCCATGCTGGTTCTACATGAAGAGAGAGACTACAAAGAAAGGAGCTCCACAGTCAAGAACGGAGGCAACTAGAATCTGGCTAAATTGCTGGAGAGATCTCCCACAAGCTAAGATCCAAGCTTGGATTGAGCGTATTCTTATACATATTCCAAAGATAATTGAGCTACAAGGTGGTAATGAGTATATAGAGGGGAGAGATAGGCGTTGTGTAGGAGAGCGGCCAGATTTCGGCTAAATTATTCTTGGCAGGACAAAACTTTTGTGAGGCACCTCCGTATCCAAGCTGGCTTTAGAGGCGCTAGTCTAGTCCCACACGACCCACAGGCTGTGCTATCTAAGCTTGATGTGGTGGTGCAGACACCTGTACAATCACCGCAATAGGTAGCCGCCTGGCAGGCGCAGACACCACGCAACGCGCGCGAAGTTAAGTCTTAAATTGGTCTCATTTAAGAGAGCGTGAGAAAACGCTGTGGGTCTTCTGCTAATTCACTCACTAAGTAGATCGCGTAGCTAAGTAAGGGGGCCCAGCAAATGGCACATAAAATGACGCTTATGATGGAGGAAATGGGTACGCTTTGAGCGGCTCTTAACGAGTCAAATAAGCGTAAAAGCCGCAAGCGGCGATACGTACGGACAGAAGAGACTCTTACTATAGGCAAAGTACAAGAAGTATTAGCTAAACAGGCGGGTAGCAGTCGTGGTGATGGTGAGAGTGCGTCGAAGAGGGTGCGAGGAGAGCGGCGGTGCGGGCGTTGCAAGCAGACTGGACACAACGCTCGTACCTGCGTAGTTAAGATAGATAGTGCAAGTGATAGTAGCAATTCTAACAATTAACTTAGTGTATTATAATAGTTTATTAACTGTGATAAAAAAACTGTAATAACGTGTTGATGTAGATGTAGTGGTGGGGCGTTAGCGACTTGCTTAGGTTAGCGACTCACTTGTGAACCACGTTATATATACTAATAAGCTTTAAAGTGTTACACGGGGTTTGGATCTATACTTCTCTTGCCGGGTCCCACACTAAGGCCGGTGAGCTTTACGCTAGTGTTCCGTGAGGTTGTCTGGCGATTCGTAGTGGAAAAGAGTTATGGATGTAACCAGGGTTTGACAACGCTAATCTATTCAATAGACTAACATGTAACTATCTTGTGAAGTAACAATACTAGTAAGAAAGTACAATTTGAGTTAACCACAACGAGAGTAATAATGAAATCCATCTATCCTTATATCCTCATTGCTTCCAGTCCTGCCATCCCGTCCATCCCATCTTTTCCTCTCTTGGCGGGATGTCTGGGATGGACTGCCATCCCAAGGCCCACTGCCATCCCAAGCTTGGCGGGATGTCTCGTCTTGGCGGGATGGCACATCACGTGACCCTGAGCCCCGCAATGTCCATTACCTTTTGACGTGGACGTCCCTAGGCCTTCAGCCATCTCGTCATTTGTTAAGGAGAGGATCCTTCTTGTTACTTGTAACATAAAGCTTATTATTTTAGTATTTATAAGTATTATACTATATTTTTACTAATATTCTATACTACTACTTTAACTTTTTTTTATACTTCCTTTTTATTATAGTAAGCTAACAGATTTTAAAATTATCGCTTAATTTACTTATAACGTCAAAGTATAGCGAGTGGCTGTAACGGGCTGAACGCCCTTTGGATAGCTCCTCGATGGAATCTCGGTCAAGCAGCAGACGCCAGGTCTTACTCTGCAACCCAGCATCTGTGCGAGGCCTGAGCGGCGCCCAGACGACGCGCTCAGACACTCGGTGCAACCTTTCTCTAACAAGTAAATAAACACCACGCAAGTAGACTCTATAGCTCTCTATTGAATACAACCTCTTGTATACCTCGCGATTGCTCCCTAGAGCGCAGCCCCTTACATTTTGTATTCGATCCTAATTAGACATAAGCCTTAGGCGGACTGTCTTCTAACTAAGTTTTAGAGCGTGTTGTTAGTGCGAGCTAGTAACATAGAGTTAGTGCTGCAATAGGTACGAAAGGCCTTCAGTGCAGCGAGAAGGTAGACCGTCGCAAGATAGTACACCTAGGGCAGAGCTTCGCAGGAAGTTCAGCCGTGAGAGACAGTAGGCGATTTAGTCGCCTGGGACCTGTCTAGGAAGTCCTACCGTGTCTTGGAAAGCTAAGCCGTAGGCGCAACGTCGCGTGATAAACTACCTAAAGGCCACTTGGGCCTAGCGTACAGTTAGCTAGAAGCGGACGTTGTAGTGAGAAGTCCTGTCGATCCTCTATCGGACGGGGTGCAGGCCGTGCGATTACTCTCAATTAGAGACGAGATCCCACAAGCGAG